GGCGGCGGCGGCAGCCGGTCACGCGCCGCCCCGAGCCGCGGGCACCCGCGCGGGAGCCCGCCCGCACCGGGAGGGGGGGCGCGGGGCACGGCCGAGGCCGCCGCCGGGACGGGATCCGCAGGGCCGGGCACGGGGGCGGGCGGGTCCGGGCGGCTCAGCTGGGGTGGACTCCCGGGGACGGGATCCCCGTGGCGCAGATCCTCCGGGACGTGGACTCCGGAGGGGCGCCAAGGCAGGTTCCCGGGGACCAGGACACGGCGGGGCGGCGGAGGGGGGATGCTGCTCGCGGGGCAGTCAGGATTGCCCGGAGCGAGCAGCGCGGTGCCAGCGGGCTGTGTCCGAGGCTGGTCCCACGGCCCCCAGGGGTAGGGGGGGGAGGGGGCAGTCGGACCCACTAACAGGGTCCTGAGGAAGGTCTGGGGGGCCTCTACCCCACACCTGCCGCACGCTTGTCTCCCAACTGCCCGACACGGATATGCAGCACCCTGGTAGCCGCTGGGCTGTGGGACCCTGCCAAGGTTCAGGTAATCAGTTAATCTACTTAATTGTCCGGCTGGAAAACTGCCCACCCTGCCAGGGCTTGAGCTGGCAATGGTAGGGCCATGGCGTCAAAAAGTCACATCAGCTCAGGAACATGTCCTGCATGGTGACACCTGCACTCCAGCTCCCTGCCTGCACCTCAGCAGTGTTTGAGCCGCCGAAGCCTTGGCAAAGTCCTGCCATCACCATCGCTCTTCTCTCGTCAGGCCAGCAGGGACATGTGACACCTCAGGTCCCCATGGCAGCACCTGTGTGCTGGCAGCAGCACACAGTGCCTCATGCCTGCTCCCTGCCATCTCTCCATTCTCGGGGCAATGTGTTCACCACCAGTGCATGAGGCATTTCTGGTCCCTGATCCACACTCTTCTGTGGGGTCAGCGGGCTCTGGCAGCCAATTGAGCACAGGGTCCAAGAATCTGGGCAATGCCGGCACCCTGGGCCCCAGAAAGCAGGCGGGGCAGGCAGCTAGTCTGGGGATTAGTGCTGGAGAGGCCGCACAAGGGGAGAGTGCAAAGTGATCCTGCACCACACCATGCACTGCCAGCACTGGGCACCACCACAGCTGGATGGTCTCATGCTGAGGAAGGTGCAGCTGCAGTGCTGAGTGTGCAGTGGGACTATGGGAAGAGAGCAGGATCTAAAGCACCTTTAGCACAAGGCAGGAGCACAGCAGCCACCTCCACATCCTCGGTGCTGTCAGAGGTTTCCTCCTCTGCCAAGTGACTCACTGGCAGATGAAATGCTGAGCCCTCTACTCTGTGCTGTTGCAGCAGCCACCTGCCTGCTGCTTGCTCAGCTGGGGATGCTGGGTGGAGGATGCAACCAGTTCTCTCAACCCCTGTGCCCGTGGCCACCTGGGTGTCACAGGCTTTTGATCACTGTTTTCCCCATTCTCCTGGGTTCTCCCCCAAGAAAGCTCCAAAACTCCAGGTTCAGAATTTCAGAGAAAGTTGCCCTGATTAAATGCCCTGACAGACTGGAACCCAACTTATCTTTTTCTCCTGACCACTGTATGTGTTTTATGATTCTGTCCTGTGCCCTCCACACTTCTTCTTGGCTGTGCTCCAGGCACCCTCCCTGGTTGAAAGGTGGGGCAAGACCCCTACAAACATCGGTACTGGTAGCTCCGTGGAGGCAAAGGCCAGGAGAAACCACACATACCTGGGGTATGGCTGATCCAGCAAGGAGCCAGTGACAGTGAGCTGGGAGTACAGGCTGGGAGGCAGGACCAGTTCCACCAGGATGCAAGCAGAGTGTCTGGGGAACCTGCTGCCATGCAGCATGCATGCTTCCATTTTTGTCCAGTAAGGCTGGGAGAGGAGCTGCCATTGTCACAGCCATATTGGGTCAAATGCTCTTGTTGGCAGTTAAAATCCTGGAGGAGACCCTGAGTGGAAAGGGGGACTGTGGGGACCAGGGTGGCACCCTGGGGCTTCATCCCATTCACCAGGGAAGTTATCCTATGCAGGGGGAGGCATTGCTGGCTGCTCTTGCTGTTACACCTCCATCTCCAGGGATTTTGTTTTGCACTGTGTTCCAATGTGTGCATGTGGCAAGGAGCTGCAGGGGTCCCCAGGGCGGCCCTGCATTGCACCCCACGGCACTGAGGCTCCATCTCGGCTTGCCAAGGAGCCAGTCCCTGCTCTGCCTCTGCACAGGGGCTTGCAGCAGACACCTCCAGAGGTCCCTCCAAGCTCAGCCATGTGCTGCCGAGCTCCCTGCATCCAGACCAGGGGCTGTACAGAGACCTGCACCCGTCCTTGCCAATCCCAAAGTGCACAGGGTGGTGGGAAGCCCACCAAGCAGGTTTTGCCCAGCGAAGGCCGTGCTGGGGCTGCTGGGGAGGCGGGTACACAAGGGCAATGTGAAACAAAACAAACAGCCATTGCTACTGTCAGCCATCAACAACCACCTCTGCTTACAGGGGTGTCCCGAGGCTCTGGAGGCTCCCCATCTCTGGCTACCACCCCCCACTTTCTCCTTGTTAATTAACGTCACTGGACCAATGTTAAATCAGAAGGGTGAAGGTTTCCATCTTTAAAAACAGAGAGGAGCTAAAAAAAGAATCCTCCCAAGTCCACAATCCAGGGAAGTTAAACAGCTAAAAAGCAGTTGCCTGTTCTCCTGCTGGGACAGCGAGGATTCTGCCTCTCCCCCCCAAAAAAACCAACAACAAAACCATTGGGCTTTGGTGAACGTGAGTTTATTAAAGCCAGAAAAAGGGATCCCAGCCATTTTCCTTGGAATGACAAAGCTGGATAATTTGAATTTGTGGCAATACGGTTTTGTCAACACCAAAATGTTTCTTTTGCTGGTAACATTTCAGATCAAAAATCAAACGTGACACAAATGCCCAAAGCAGTGGGATCTGCCCACAGTCACAGCTGGGTACCCTGAAAAGAGTTGCTCTGTGAGAATTGGGACTGTCTAACATCTCATCTGCTGGATCTACCTGTCCTATCTTTGGTCTCTCAGAACCACTGCCCTTGAAAAGGGTATGTTGGAGAATTACTTAATCAGTCAAGAGATACAAAAGACAAATAAAGTAGAAACAAAATAATGTCCTGGAATCTCTGAAACCGAGGAATTTAAGCCTGTAAGGAGAAGAGATACAATAGTGGATGATCCTGAGATGATGGGGTTTGGTTTTCCTCAGTTAAACCTGTCCCTGCCCAAAGTTCACAAACAACTCCTGAGACAAATCTGAACCTGATGGAAATCAACTAGAACAACACTACTCTACTAAAATCCTGAACTTTTACAGAACAAACCAACACAAATACTACAAGTAAGAAACAGAGTGAAGCCTCTGACCACAGAGATAGGGTTATATAGATCTAGCTGAGGAGTTTCCAATAGATCTCAAATCTGACTGAGCTGACCCTCTGCTCTGCCAGCCCTCTCCTCCGTGGGAATGTCAGAATGTCAGGTACTTCATTGCTGTGTAAATGCTAAGGTAACTCAAGCCCATGGCATCTCTGCGGGGAGCAGGGAAGTAAAGCAATACAAATCCTTCAGCTTTCCAAGCCAGGGGAGAGCCCTGTTTAGATCCCACATAGTCCCTTACAATATCTCAAACTGGGCAATAGCATTTTCAAACATCCAGGCCAGAGCCTTGCCTCTGACTAAGCAGGTAACACACTTAGAGGAATAAACTGCAACTGAAATGTTCATCCTGCACTAAGGGCTCCAAGCATGAAACAAACCCCTTCAATCAGAAGAATCACAATCAAACAGTAAAGAGCAACAGTCTGTGTTCTGCTGAGCCAGTGGATTGACAGGATGTGGTTTCTTGGAGCTTGAGGGGCTTTGGAGGCTGAAGCAGCTCATTTGCTTTACACCCTTTGTGCTACACAGGGAAAGTACATCCTCCTCAGGAGAGGAATTCAAGAGATACCTTTTTACACTGGAAACATTAATTGTATTTTTAGTTTCAGGACTTCTCTTTCTGCTTACAAGTTGTTGCAGGCTTTTATCAGAGCGTGGCACTGGTGGGAAACTCTTTGTAAGCCCCAGCTGAGCACTGCTGAGGATCTGCTGATGAGGAGCTGCAAAAACCAGGTCAGAGTTTTCTGAATTGAGATCAACCAAGTATCTGGGAAGGGATTTTTTTCTGGAGCTTTCCCAGTCAATAATCCCATTTGCCTTCCTCTGCTTCAGCCCACCGTCAGCACATCCAGAGTGTTCGCCTTTCCTCTTAGCGGAGCAGGTTTTCTTTCTCCCTATTTCTTTTTTCCAGGACATCCTTCCTGGACTCTGTTTTGTTTTGTTCCCTACAGCTGCCTTCTCCACCTCGTGGTCTGTGAACCAGTTGCCATGTCTTTGCCTAGGTGTAGCTTTCTGTGCAGAATGGTGGCAAACTTGAGGCTGCTGCTGCTGTGATGGTGTCAGGGGTTTAAACCCTCGAGCGCCTCTCCTGAATGCCTTCCTCAGTGGGGTTGGTAGAGGCACTTCCAGTGGTACAGCATCTTGTTTCTTCTGACTATTCCCCAAAAAGTGTCTGCCAGCCCAGCACATGCAAGGATGGTCAGCACAGCTCTGTGTCTCCAAACTACATTTCACCTCCTGATAAAAGGTGTTATCTCTGCCACAGGCTGCTGTAGCAATGGGGCTGACTTTGTCTCCTGAGGCTGAGTTTAGGTTAGATGTGCTATCTCCAGTGACCTGATTCCTTACAGGAGAGTCTTCCTGTTGCTGCCCTGCTGTCACACAGGGAAAATGAGACCAGCCTGAGCAGCTGCAAACTCCCCTGCCTGGGCAGCATGGCCTGTGTGGGTGCTCCTTACTCAGGACACAGTGCTGGCACAGCCCAGGGTAGGTCTGGGAAGACTTATCTATCATGTGAGGGGGCAGGCTGGCACTAGAGACAAGGGTATGCTGCTCAGCTGAGCTATTACATAGCTTTGGGAAGCCAAGTTCTTTACACACTTCCAGGAACTGGTCTTTCAGCTGGGCTGGCAGTGACTCCAGACCCTCCTTCAGCAGCTGGATACTGGATTTCATATCCAAAATCTCCATATCTTTCTGGGGAAGCAGAAGGCAAAGCAGAAGCAGTAAAAAACACACCAAAAAAGCACAATAGTAAGGAAGTTTTTTTATCATGTGTCAGTTTGTTGTTGACCCAAAGATTAGCAATTGTATCTTCCTGTGTAATAGATATCCTCAAAGTATCCCATAAAGGTGAGAGGTTTGGGACTGGAGATCCCCCTAACCCACTCTGTGCCCCCTCTCCTAGGAACATTGCCTTCTCACACGCTGGTGTGATACATCCTTGCCAAAAGCAATTACTGCAGCAGGGCCTTTGGAGAAATCAGACCTGATCAGGAGGTCTTTGACAGTTCATTCTTGTATCTCTCACATCCACTTGTTTTCTTTTCATGTCTTTTTTCCTTTCCCTGGCAGAAGGGACAAGGTGCTGCACTTCTGCGAGGTGCTTTCCCCTCACAGACATGCACTGCACCATCTCCTCCAGCAAAGGCATGTGTCAGGTGAGGAAGCAGTGAGTGCTCCATCACAGCCTGCCACAACAAGGCACTGTTGGCTTCTTTTCTTACTGGCGGGGGTTTCATCAGAGCTTACAGCACTGTTAGCCAGTGCTCGGGTAAGCCTCTGTCAGTGTCTGGCCTAGAATTAGCATTTTAATATATATTTCCCCTTTCATTATAACAGGAGCAGTCTGCTTTATAATCCACCATTCAAAGGCAATTTAATATTTGGTCAGTATTTTGAAGAAGCAGGAGAGATTCAGAATGAGGATTCAGAATAAAAGATTAATTTCTTCACTTACGGCTGCAAGTCTCCTCTCCATCTCCAGCAGTGCCTGCTCCATTTGACTTTTATCTGTCAAAGCTTTCAGCATCAAGCTAGAGTGACTTTGAAGAGCATCTTCCACTAAACAGGGAAATCAATAAAAAACACATTTGGTCTTTCATTTGTAAATGTGAATAAACTGCCATCAGTACTATTGCTACTTTCTGCATGGCTTGGCATGAATCACCATATGAATTCTCCTGATGTGATCTCCCCAAACCCTGAGCAATGAGCAATGGGGTGGATTTTTAATGCAAGACACTTGAAATTTATAAGATGCTGCACATAGGCCAAACCTAATTTACTGCCCTCTGGTAATGTGGCAGCTGGAGAAGAGAGGCTGTGCAAAACTGCAGAATTTGGTAGGCTGAATGCAGGGAAGGCTGAGACTTGGTTGTCTGCCAGGTGCACAGCAGGCATGGCCAAGGCAGGGGGACCCCAGTATAGCTGATCCACCCCTGTATAAACAACACTCTCATGCAACCAGGTGATGGTAAATGGGGCTTGAGCAGGATGGAGGTGTAAGAGGTTAATGGCTAAAAAGGGCAACCAGAGAAACTGTGTCAAAAATGCACAGAAGGCTGAAAACTGAAGGAAAATTGCTGGAAGGAAGAGAGGGAAGTTATGAAGGAGTGTGCAAAGAATTGGAATTTCCATTTTCTGGTCATGGGAAAAGATGGGGTCAGAAACCACCTGAATCAGGCAACCGTGCACAGCACTTGGTAGTGGGGGCCCCAGCAGAGTCTTGTGGAGGCACAGGCTCCCTGCGAGGGTTTCAAATTGGAGCAAGTTGCTCTTGGGTTCAGTCAGCCTTGTTGAAAAACTGATAAAACAGGGATTTGTGTTATATGATTGGATAAGAATATAACTCCCCCATACAGCTTCAATTACTCTAATAGGATCCACTGCTGCGCCTAATACACTACAGGATGGGAACACAGTTTGCAGTGTGTGTGTGGAGATTGGAGATGAAAAATCTTTAGCAATCTTGTGGAAGTCTACTTTAAAATTGTAAATTAGGACAGAGATAAAGAGCTGAGAAAGAGCAGAGAGAAAGAGCTAAACATGTCTGGTCTTTCCTGTGAAGGGTGCAGGAAGGTGTGTACAGACAGTGTGGAATGTTGGCTGGTCGTCATAAAGCAGGATCCAAAGCACTCTTGCTGAAGTAAAGCACTGCCAAACCAATGGGCCAGGATAACTGAAAGCCTGGAGTGCTGGAGCACTGCATTCCTGATAAAAATCAGAATAAAGCCTACATTTCAACAAGTTGCTACAAGAGCTCTGCAATTAATGAATCTTCTTTTGATACAGGTCCAAGGTGTTTGATTGACTTTGAGGTCAGAGGAGCCATCTGCAGCTGTTCCTGCTCATCAGTGTTTATCTCAGCTCCTCGGTGTGCGCCTCTTGCCCCACAGTGCTGTGCTCACAGGCTGCAGAGCTGCAGGGCACTGGGGATCCCTTCTCCTCCTGCTCAGCTATTTTCATTAAGCTTCCAGGGACTTAATTATCTCAGTGAGCTGTGCCCTTCTGTCAAACTGTCAATGGAATTTGTTAAAGAGCTAAAAACTATTAGCAGCAGGCAGAAAGTGATTGTACAGGCTTTGTTTCTGGGAAAAAAAAACAGGGATGTTTTAAAATTTTGAGAAGGAAGAAAGGTAAAAAATCTGAGCAGTTATGGGCTTAGTAATTTGTTCTCATATGGTGGAAGGTTTTAGAGCAGACTTTGAGGAGAAAAGTACTCAAAGATATGGAGAGAAATTGAATAAGAACAAGATTTTGTAAAAGGTGGATTGTGATTTAATGCACTAAGACAAGGCAGGTGACTTTTTTGACAAAGACAACACAGTGGCTATTCTGTAGATTCAAACAAAGCTTTTCAGTAGAAGTTGTTATGTAATATAAAAAGGAAAAAAAATAAGGGTAAACTTAAAAAACAAGCCTCAACTAAAGGGAAAACATCAGCTCTTGAGCTGAGTGCAATGGGGGGACAAGGCAGCCCTGAAAGAAGCTCACCAAGGCCTTCTCATGAGCCAAACAGGCTTAAAATCTGCTTTAGTCACCTTGGTACAAAAGCCAAAGTGCATTCAGTTAATTAGCAAGTAACGTGAGGATGCAAATATCAGCAGCAGAAGCTACAGGTGAGACAGGACAGTGTGGTGCGTGGTAGTGCACCAGCTCTGGCTGACAGAACTGCTATGCACCCCAGGGTGTCTGGAAGCCCACACACCTTCCCAGCTCTCTATGTGCAAGGAAAGAAAGAGACTGAACTAAGACATGGGCAGAGAAAAGCTACAAGTTAATTAAGTGCTTACATGGTAATCTCCTCTTATGAAAGGAGATTGAAAGTGTTTGTCTCATTCAGCCACGCAAAGCAGAGGTGTGGGGTGGCACAGGGCTGGAGGTGCCACTCAGGGATGAACACAAGGAATGGCACCTCCTGGCACCAGGAATCCCCTGTGCCCAGATGTGTTTTTGACTTTGCCTCCTCTGAAGGAGTCCTGCTTGGGCACAGTACACACAGCTGTCATTTGGGAGAAGGAACCCTGCAGTTCCCTCATCCAAGCATCATCCTCACATACATTGAATTAAAACCACCTTCTGGACTTGAACTCAAGGAGAATTTCTCCATTATTTCAGGATGCACATCACCACATGGCTTTGCCTTGTTCTCTGTTGTAGCTTGGCTGATTTCTGAGAATTATCTGCACATATTTCAAAAAATATGCTGTTGCAGACAATTTGGTTGCTGTTTTTAATCTTCTAGTGTTTTGCTCTGCCAGATTTAGACTGTTTCAGAAACCTGGAAATCTATAACCTGAAGAATGGGTTTGTAACGGGGGAGTGAATGTTTGAGTGGGCCTTCTAGACTTTTCATCTCCCTGGTTAGACACAAAGGCTACCTGAAATCTGAGAGGAGGTTCTGGGGAGCCTGCCAACCTACAAAAAGAAGGAAAGCATCAGTAACTAAAGGAAGAAACTCCTTTCATGTCACTTTATCATCTTCCATGTCTACATAGTGAAGATACAGAAAGGGCAGCATCTCCAAGCTTACCTTATCTTGCTGCTCTTCCCTATATGTTTAATTTTAGCTCAGAATTATTTTTAAAACTTTCTGGTTACCCTAGTCTGTCTATTCTTCTTCAACATAGTATCCTCAGTCTAAAAATAGTCCTGCATCCACTGGGCTTGTGATCTGCACATACATTTGACTCAGCACAGCATGCTGCCGGCAAGCAACCAGCAGCCAGCCTTTTGAAAGCGTTTCATTTGTACGTGTAGGAGTGTTCTGCAGAAAAAACCCTCAGTACAGAGGAGGGGCACTCTCCTTCCCTCCCTGCTTCCATACCCAGAGGAGTGTTCAGACTTGTCAAACACTAATAAACAAGGTAAAAATAAGTGTTAATAAAGGCTTACCAAAAAAACCAGGCCTTGAGACGGCCAAATGAGATCAGATCAAGGCCCCTGTTAAGTCAAGTCTCTTGTCTTTGAATATGATCAAGAAAGGCTGCATCAGAGGTTTTCTTCAAAAAAACTCTGCAGCAGATAGTTATTGAATAACTTGATCACAGACAGAAAATCTTTACTCAGTTAATGGGTGACTTATGCACAGACTTGTGCCTCTCTTGAGGTAATTTTAACAAAGCAGTTTTTTACAATCTGAGTCGCTGCGTTTTGATTTGCTGTACCCTTGTCTTCGGATGCTACTGTTTACAATAATAACATTTGGAATATGAAATCTGGCATGAGATAAAAGGCTGAAGGATCTCAGGGTGGGGCTGCTACCCTGTGCTGCAGAGAGTTCCCTGCAAATCAGCCTGTACCTAGGTGCAGCTGCACTCCAGCAGCTGAAAACTACAGCCTAAGCAGTCAAGGGAGAGAGCACCAGCCTCTCAGCCTAGGAATATTAAACAGCAACTGCTTCTGATGTCTCTCTATCATCATCTATGCAGCTCATCCTGAAATTGGCACTAACAGCACAGAAGCTTTAAATAACACTTTGGAAGGAAGTTGGTTCCCTCACACCCAGATTCAGTAGGGGAAAATGGAGGTGCAATAAACCTGGTGAGGCATGGGCAGGGAAGACAGCTCTGGAGCTCAGCAGAGCACTGCATGTTCTCTCTGGGCAGCCATGGAGCTGTGCCAGAGGGTGAGACAGTTGGGCTGTCATGACTGCATCATGCTCAGATATACTCCAAGCAGTCAGTTGGCAGGTT